CAAGTGGTAGAGTGCTTGCCTTGAGCTGAAGAGCTGAGGGACAGCGCCCAGGCCCAGAGTTCAGGCCCCACGACCGGACCAAAAAAAGAAAGAAAAATCCAGGTGAGAGCTCGAGGCCCTGAGTTCAAGCCTGGCATGATAGTACTGGCAGAATAGAATGCTTTTAAGCAGAGAAAATGTGTTGGCTGGGTAGGTGGCTCAGTGGTAGAGTGCTCACCCAGCATGCATGAAGACCTGGGTTCGATTCCTCAGTACCACATAAACAGAGGTGGTGATCTGGCTCAAGTGGTAGAGTGCTAGACTTGAGCAAAAAGAAACTCAGAGGCGGTGCCTAGGCCCTGAGTTCAGACTCTAGGACTGACAAAAGAAAAAGAGAGGGAAGGAAGGAAGGAAGGAAGGAAGGAAGGAAATAGGCCAAGTGCTGGTGACTCATGCCTATAATCTTATCAAATTAGGAGCCTGGTATCTGAGGACTGTGGTTTGAAGCCAGCCTGGGCAGAAAAGATCAGGAAACTTATTAACCACCCAAAAGTCAGAAGTGGACTCTGTAGCTCCAGTGGTAGAGCACTAGCCTTGAACAACAACAACAAAAAGGTCAGGGACAGCACCCAGGCCCTGAGTTCAAGCACCAGGACTCTCCCTCTCTCTCCCTTCCTCTCCCCCCACCCCCCCACCACACACAATGAATGCAATACAGCCAATGGAATATAGCCTCGCTCATTATGGAGCCCGTCAGCGCCATGCTTTGAGGAGAGGGCCTCTCAGGCCTCTGCCCTGCCTTGGGTCCACTCGGAATCCAGCAGGAAAATGTCCCTGACAGCTGGGGTCAACAGGTCTGTGCTGCACTGCGCTGCACAGATGGAGGTGGACAGGAAGGGATGCAGGCTCAGGCCAGACCTCCGAGGGTAGCTGGGTGTCTGGAGCCCCTGCATGGCAGGCGCTTCTTCAGTTCTGGGGGTTCAGAGCCAAGACAAGTGGAATGGACCGAAGGCCCTGACGTCACTCTGGGTAAATCCCTCCCTCGGGGCTTCGGGCTCCACGCGTTGCCATGACAACAGCTGAGCTGTAGAAGCTGAGCCGTGGAGCTCAGGCTGTTGGCCTAGGACCCCGGGGGAACTCGTGTGTTGGCTCCACGCATGGATGCTCTGTAAGATTGCCTCAGCACACACACACACACACAAGAATTTTTGCCAACATTTTTTTCCCAAAGACGAAGACTCGAACTTAGTATCTGACCCTTGCTTTCATTCACTGGCTGGAGCTCTACCCCTGAGCCTCCAACCCCTGCCAACATTCATTTTTGTCGGTTGTGGGGCTTGAACTCTGGGCCTGTACATTGTCCCTCAGCTCTTCAGCTCAAGGCGAGCACTCTACCTCTTTGAGTCACAGCAACACTTCGGGTTTTCTGGTGGTTCTTTGGAGGTAAGAGTCTCACGGATTTTCCTGCCTGGGCTGGCTTTGAACCGCTATCTCCCTCAGATCTCAGCCTCCTGAGTAGCTAGGATCACAGGTGCAAGCCACCAGCTCCTGACTCTGCCAGCATTTTTAAGTTAGTGGTACTAGGATTTGAACTCAGGGTCTATGCTTACGTGGCTGGCTCTCTCTCATTTGAGCCATCCTCTTAGCCCTTTTTTTTTTCTTCTTTTTTTTCTCCTAGTTATTTTTCAGATAGTCTTTGAGATTTTTGTCTGAGCTAGCCTTGAACTTCAGGTCACTTGGGCACTTCCTATTGAGTAATTTTCCCTTAACAGGGATGAGCTAACCTTCACCAGGTTTCTAACAACAATTTAAATTCTTCCTTGAATCATTTATGAGAGTGAAATTCCTCTCTTCCCTCCTCCCCCTTTTCCCTCTCCCTTTTTTTTCTCCCTTTTACTCTCTCAATTTTCAGCCTAATTATGGTTCACTCTCTTTATTTAGAGACGTATTATCCAAGCTCATTATGAGTAATTATTCAGTCTGGAGGGGAAAAGAGCAACACTGCTAGTTTAATTTAGTGCTTACCTAGTTCGCGTAATTAGCAATAAGTCTTGGCAAAACGGTAGAACCCAGAGGTTAAGGTCCTGGCTTGGTAGGTGGGTGGGAGGGTGATTGTGGTGGTGGTGATGGTGTGTGTGTGTGTGTGTGTGAACTCAGCTTGAACTCAGGGTCTGAGCGCTGTCCCTGAGCTTTATTCCCCCCCCTCAAGGTGAGTGCTCTACCACTTGAACCATGGCTGCACACCAGGCTTTTTTGGTCGTTAATTGGATTGATGATTCAGGTCCTACGGGGTCCACGAGGCTGACTTGTGGCCTGTGTAGCCATTATGGGGATGACAAAGGAATGAGGGAGAGAAGGAGAGAGCATCGTCCCTCCCCTTGGAGCTTTTCCCACCCTCCCAGCCACCCAACAGCTGTCCCCAAGATGCCAGAAAATGGAGGCCAGATGATTCTTCTGTCAGTTTTATTGGGGTTGGAGGCCCTCAGAGCCCTGCCCGGTGATTCAGGCCAGCCTTTTGCTCACTCGTTCGTAGGTCACGCCTCCAATGGTGGAGGTCTGAAAGAAGCAGACAGAAGACAGAGAATCAGTGCGGCCCTGGGGGGGAGGGAGAGGGGAAGGAGAGGAGGCAGGTGCACCATCCCTCTCCAGGCCATAGATTAACCATCGGCCATGCTGTGCAGACCTCCATGTGGCAGAAGGGACGTATCTCTGTTCCTCGACCTTGCCCCCTGCCAGCCTTGCCCCTTCTTCATTCCATCCATTCTCCCAGCAGTCTTGGAGACATGCCCATTGTAGAGAGTCTTCCTTCCGCTCCTCTCCCTGCTTAGCCAAGGCTGGGTACCCGGACTGACACGATGTACCTACCCACAGTGGTGTTGGGTTTTTTTGTTGTTGTCTATCTCAGGGCTTGAACTCAGGGCCTGGGCGCTGTCCCTGAGCTCTTTTTGCTCAAGGCGATCACTCTACCACTTTGAGCCACAGAGCCACTTCGGTTTCCTGGTGATTCGTGGGAGATAAGAGTCTCATGGACTTTCCTGCCTGGGCTGGCTTTGAACTGCGATCCTCAGATCTCAGCCTCCTGAGTAGCTAGGATGACAGGCGTGAGCCACCGGTGCCCAGCTCTACCCACAGCTTTTCTCCCATCTTCCAGTACGCACCCTGGCACGGGAAGGGGCCAGCTGTTCAGATCCTCCTCCGCGGGTTACAGAGGCATGGAAACGAATACCCCCAGAGACCAGCCGCACACTCACCTCCACGAGCTTGTCACCCACGACCTCCGAGGTCTGGTGATAATTGGGGAAGTCCACCACCACCTTGCCACCCTCCATCTGCACGGTGGCCTGGGAAGGAATGGGGAGGACATTGATTCTGAGTCCTCAGCCTTCCACACCAGCCCCGCAACGCCCCCTCCAGGAATTCCCTGCCTACAGATGCACGATTGTGTGTCTCAAACAGGTGGCTTGACTGCTTGCTGCCTCCTTCTACACATCTGTAAATGAAGACGAAGCTCACGGCTCACACCTGTAACCCTAGCTACTCAGGAGGCTGAGAGCTGAGGATCTTGGTTTGAAGCCAGCCTGGGCAGAAAAGTCTGAAAGACTCCATCTGCAATTCATCAGCCAAAAGCCAGGCTGGAGGGGTGATTCACCTGGAGCAGTGCTAACCAAGCAAGCATGAGGCCCTGAGTTCAAACCCCAGCACTGGCCTATACAGCCCAATGCAATACAATACAAAGAATACAACACGATGAGTGATATCGATCAAGAAGCACGGTACTTACAAATTGATTGTTGAATGGTGGTAACCACCTTGTACAAATTACTTAAAGATGAATAAAAACAGGAGAAAAAAAACAGATTCATCAACTATGTAAACATGGCGGCGGTGGAGCTCTGGCTCAAGTGGTAGGGTACTAGCCTTGGGCAAAAACAAAGCTAAGTAAGTGGCTGGCACCAGTGGCTCACGCCTGTCATCCTAGCTACTCAGGAGGCTGAGATCTAAGGATCAGAGTTCAAAGCCAGCCAGGGCAGGAAAGTCCGTGAGACTCTTCTCTCCAATAAACTACTAGAAAATCCAAAGTGGCGCTGTGGCTCAAGTGATAGAGTGCTAGCCTTGAGTACCCAGAAGAGCTGAGGGACAGCGCCCAGGCCTAGAGTTCAAGCCCCACGACTGACCAAAAACAAAGCAAAACAAAAAACAAAATAAGTTACTACAACCTAGGCCTTTATTTCAAGACCCAGGGCTAGCACACCACACACATTCTCTCTCTCTCTCTCCCTCTCTTCTCTCTCTCTCTTTCTCTCTCTCCTCCTCTTCCTACTTCTCCCCCTCCTCTTCCCTTCCTCTTCTTCTCTCTTCCTCTCTCCCTCCCTCCCTCTCTTTCTCTTTCTCTCTCTCTCATACACACACACACACACAATATAGAACTGATTTAGCAAGTGTCAAATTATGTTATCTTAAGTGATCAGCAAATACTTTCTCTCTTCAAGGTCCCTGTCTGGTCCATTAATCATGGCGATGGTTAGACACTGGGAGATTAACAGGAGGGGCAGTGACGTCATGTCTGAGCTGTGGGTGGCTCCAGGGATTGGGGAGGGGGGAGGGGGGAGGCAGGCGGCGGGGCCTCACCTTGAACTTCTTGCCGCCCATGGTCTGCATCTCGCACTCCTTGCCGATGGTGAACTTGTTGGTCATGATGTGACCCCCGGAGTAGTACTGGGACCAGGTGAAGTCCTGGCCATCCTGCTGCACCTCCGTGGTGATCTTGAAGTTGCGGCCCTTTTCGATCACGTCGCTGGGAAGACCTGGGCCCAAGGACAAGCAGACAGGCCACATAAGAAAAAAACAGCTGAGCCAGGTGACAAGTGGCTCACGCTTGTCATCCTAGCTACTCTGGAGGCTGAGATCTGAGGATTGTGGTTCAAAGCCAGCCTGGGCAGAAAAATCCCTGTGAGACTCTTTTTTTTTTTTGTCATTGGTCCTGGGTCTTGAACTCTGGGCCTGGGTGCTGTCCTTGAGCCTCTTTTGCTCAAGGCTAGCACTCTACCACTTGAGCCACAGCACCATGTCCAGCCTTTTCTGCTTATATGGTGCTGAGGAATGGAACCCAGGGCCTCGTGCATGCAAGGCAAGCACTCTACCACTGAGCCACCTTCCCAGCCCGCTGTGAGACTCTTATCTCCAATAAACTACTCAAAACAAAGCCGAAGTGGTGCTGTGGCTCAAGTGGTAGAGCACTAGCCTTGAACACGAGGAGGCTCAGGGGACAGCGCCCAAGCCCCAGATTTCAAACCCCAAGAGTAGCAAAAAATGAGTCAGAAATGGACCTGTGGCTTAACTGGTAGAATTCCAGCTTTGAGTGAAAAACTAAGGGACAATGCCCAGGCCCTGAGTTCAAGCTCCAGTACTCTGGCCCATACACACACACACACACACACCCCTCAAGCCTTGCACTTGGGCTTTTGTGTGTGTGTGTGTGCCTGTAACAGATAGATAGATAGATAGATAGATAGATAGATAGATAGATAGATAGATAGATAGATAGAGATAGATCCATCCATCCATCTACCTAGGGAAAGGACAGAGTAGTTGCTCGATAGATGTGACTGGATGAATGAATGAATGAATGAATGCAGTCCTGGCTCTCTCTCTCCTGGCCGTCCAGTCCCAGGGCAGGCAGCTCACTCACCCAGGCGCTTCATGAATTCGTCATAGTTCTTCTCACTCTCCACCTCAAACTTTCCGTTGAAGGCCATGCTGCCGGGAAAGCGGAGCCAGAGCTGTCCCCCACAGACGGCGGGTGTGCCAGGGGTCTGAAGAGCCAGCTTATAAGTGCTGCCTGAGTCACCCCACTTCTCCTTCCTCCCCCGGGGGAAGAAGGGGCGCTGGCGATTTACGACATGGGCAGGACTGGAGGGGCAGAACCTTGGGGTTATTCACCCTGGGGGAGAAGCACCTACTTCCTGCCCCTCCCTGCCCTGTCCTTGGCCCTCCCCTCCCCCCATTTCACACACACACACACACACACACACACACACACACACCGTTCATCAAACACGGCACCTCAATGCACAACAAAGAAATACACACGCTTGGAAAAGTGGCACCCTAGCAGCGTGGTCCTTGATCACTCTGGGTTTCTCTCTAGACTTTTTGAAGTAGACATATGTCTTCTTCTTTTATTAGTGTGCATTAGTTATGCAGAGGGGGATTTCTCTGCTACAGTGACACAGTTTACAATGTATTCTAATTCCATTTTTTCTACTTATATACGTGTGATTATGGGGAGGGGGGCAGGGACATAGCTCATTAGCAGAGCCCTTCCTTACCATACTCCAGGTCTCCCCTGCAGTTTGATCCCCAGCACCACAAGAAATAAAAAAAAGAAGAGGTTATATATGGGCTGGGGACACGGCTCAAGTGGTAGAGCACCTGCCTAGCAAGTATAAAGCTCTGAGTTCAAATCTTAGTGAATCAGAAAGAGAGAGAGAGAGAGAGGCATATAATCAGATCAGTGTGTGTGTGTGTGTGTGTGTGTGTGTGTGTGTGTGCACATGCTCACCCCAAAACTAGGGATTGAACTCAGGGCCAGGGTGCTGTCCCTTGGCTTTTTCACTCAAGGCTAGCACTCTACCACTTGAGCTACTTACTTTCAGCTTTTTAATGGTTAATTGGAGGTAAGAATCTGTTAGCTAGGCACCCATTGCTCAGGTCTATAATCCTAGCTACTCAGGAGGCTAAGATCTGAGGATCATGATTTGAAGCCAGCCCGGGCAGGGAAGTCCAGGAGATTCTTATCTCCAATTTATCATCAGAAAACAGAAGTGCTGTTATGGCTCAAAGTGGTAGAGCACGAGGCTTGAGCAAAAGAGTTTAGGGACAATGCCCAGGCCCCAAGTTCAAGCTCCATGACTGACAAAAAAGAAAGAAAAAGAAAGGAAGGAAGGAAGGAAGGAAGGAAGGAAGGAAGGAAG